CATTGTAAGAGTGTCCCGTGAACAAGGCTAGAACCAGGCTGAACAGTTTAAAAAGTGTACACAAGAGGGTTGCAGTTGGATCAGGGTGAGGTGGAAATGCTTATATCCAGGTATACATATGTAACAATGATAATTAAAGAATACGTCAGGGAATTGAGGAGACGGGGGACTGTGGGAGAAGTTGGAGGGAAAGAGGGAGAAGAGGAGATGATGTAAATATAGTATTCATATATGAAATTCTAAAAAAGATAAAAAGTTGAATTATAAAAAATGACCTCATAAATTAGACATGAAAACCTCAAGACCCTCAATACCCTCAGCTTCAGACACTGTAAATATGTAACTTCTGTCAAAATAGAAAAGACTGGTGGGAATTGTTGGAATTGGTTTGAGTGGAGTTTAGAATGAACTTTTGCTGAGATTCCATATGAAATCTGTGAGATATCCAAGCAGGCTATTGAGGACATGGTTGGATATAGACTGGAGAGAGAGAGAGAGAGAAAGAGAGAGAGAGAGACAGAGAGAGAGACAGAGAGAGAGAGACAGAGAGACAGAGAGAGGGACTGAGAGAGACAGAGAGAGACAGAGACAAAGAGAGACACAGAGATCAGACCTCACAGAAACTGTTATAACCCATCAGGTTAAAGGAAACCCGTGGCCTGATGTCTAACACTTGGATGATCGCGTTTAGCAGTGAGCTGAAGAACAGACGAAAACAAGGAAAAGTGGTAACACGGGAAGAAAAGAGCGAGTATTGTGGCTGCTGGCAACGAATGCTTTAGATGCCAAAGGCAGGCCAGGTAAAATAGGTACCGAAAGTAAATGTTGGTTTGAATGTCGAAGCCACTGGTGACTTTTATAAGAACAGCTGGATTTAATGCTAAGTCCCCAAAGCCGATTTAGGTGGACTTTTAAAAGACAGAGTAAGTAGGCAAAGGTAAAAAAAAATCTCAACAGTGGGCTCTGTAGATGCGCAAAAGTAATCCCTGCTTCACAGGAAGATCTTTTATTTCTCCTTTTGGTAGAAATTATTAAATGTCTTGACAAACTTTCCATTTTCCTTTTTAAAACTTAGCTATGTACATGCGGAGTTGCATATTAGAGATCATGGAATCTGTGAAATTATTTGGCCCTAGTGCCAGGATAATAGTTATCCTAAGGCAAAATGTGGTATCACACACCTACAATCTGAGTACTTGAGAGGATTAGAGAGGTTTGCTGGGTGTTCAAGCCCAGCCTCGGCTCCAGAGAGGAACCCTACCTCAAAAAGCCCCCCCAAAAATAAAAATAATGGAAATGTTATTCTGTATTCTTAGTTCTTAGGCATAAGAAGCTCAGAACTTCTGCAAACAAACCTGACCTCTCATTTATTTTTTGTGTGCTTTGGGTGTGTGTTGTATGTGTGCATGCAGCCTTCTCTGCGTGTACACATGTGCATACAGGTTACATATGCGTAGATGTGTGCCTGTTTACTGAGAGCAGAGACCAATACCCAGTGTCTTCCTCAATTGCTCTCACTTTATTTTTCAAACAAGTTTTTCACTGAACCTCACTAATCCACCTAGTTGACCAGCGGAATCTAGGGGTCCTCTGGCTTCTGGCTCTATATGTGGGTTCTGGTGATCTGAACTCGGTTTCTCATGCATGAGAGGCAAGCATGTCACCAATCAACCCATCTCCCTAGCCCACAAACTAAACTTTTAAATACACGTTTATACTATAGCTACAAACTTTGTTAATGTCAAGATCATTATTTTATGAGAATAAATGGTTTCTTAAAATGCTGCCTTTCCCAGTCTCCTCCCTTTCTCTCACCTCTCCTCCCACGACCTATTCATTACAGTTGAATGATGTGTCACAGTCTGAGAACTTCCAGAAAACAGAGAATGACTGCATGGGCCTCTTCATGTTCGGGTCCACTAAGGAACAAACTCTAGTTTTCAATCCTGCATTTTAACTTGAACTGAAGCAGAGATGCTTATGTTAATATCATTTCCTGCACCACTTTCTCCCATCCATCTTCTCTTTGTTTTTGTTCTGTAAGTTTGGGAAACTTGAAGTGAATATCCATGTTTCTCAAGCATCAGGAGATGAACATGTGAACCCCAAATGCCTATATCTTGAATACTGGGTGTCACTGAATATGAACTAAGCTCCAGCTTCCCCCTGTGCAGAAGTGCCAGTTCTCACATCTAGAGATACCTGTGGCACTGGAATAAAACTCTGGGCATGGACACAGATCACTAGATGTGTCTGCCATACTCCCAGTAGAACTGTGGATGCAGTAGTAAGTAATAGTCATTATTAACACAAATTAATGTTAGGGTAATAAACAGAAAAACTACCTGTGTTGTCTTACAAAACTTTGGGGGAAAGTAGGAATTGGGTTGTTCTGCCTTCAGAGCATCCCCATTTTATTTTTACCTGATTTTCCTAATTTGATTTTTATCACCACTAAATCATATTGTTTTTATGAAGCAAATAATACATTTCCCTGAATTTGCAGCTTGTCGTAGTAATGAATGACATAAACTGAGTATGTAATGTAAGCCTCTCCCAGTAATTACATTCATTCTTTCCTCTTCTTTTTTGACATAGAAATGTGTATGTGTCCATTTCTTGTTGAGGGAGATAGATTATAAAATGTTTGAATCTTCATAGCATTGCCAGAATTTCCTGGACAAGTCATACTGACTATTAGAGCAGGAAGAACAGAATAGAAAGAAAGGTGCCCCACTCAGAATGGCCTGCCTGTGTGAGCCACTCATTGCCCACAAGCCTTTCTGCAGCCTTGAAGTTGGGTGGGAGGCCTGTGTTGGAACCTTTGGTTTTCTTAGTGATCCACGGTGTTTTCTGATCCTACATCGCCCTCTGGTCAGCTCTCTCCATAAAACTTGATGTATGTTACAGAACAAGCTACTAAGGGAATCTCCATGGCTCAGCACAGATCAATCCCCTGAATGCACAGGAATCTCCTCTGTACTGAAGTCAGTAGCACAGAAGGCTCTATGATGAGGGTGGAAGTGACCAAGTTCCCATCAGCTGCAGGTTGATGCCCAGCTGCCTGCAGTGAGGAGCAGGACTCAGAAATACTTTACACCAAGGACAAGTTTGACACATCACTGCTAAAAGATGAGATTGCATAAAGTAAAATAAAATTGCATTACAAAGGAGAAATTAACATACCACACTAGGGCTAAGAATATTTTTAAATAGACAAGTAGAGTTTTCACTTCACTATAACATTATTGTATTATCCATTTACTAATTGTCATATCTTAAAATTGGTAGTTATATAACCTTCCTAAAATCTCAAATATGAATACTTACATGGAATAACAGATTTGGGGAATTTTCTTGGGACAAAGTCACCAATTCTACCTAACATAGCTGGAGTGCACTGTTCACATTCTTATTAGATAAAATGTAAATAATATCAGAGGAAAAGTTGTATTTTATAGGTTGGGTTTAGGGTACGAGGGCTTCTCACTACCGTGAGTCACTACATTGATTGCTACAATGGATTCTGCGGGACTCAGGATCAGCCCATATCTCTTCTTCTGGCTCCACTCTGTATCCTTCAGAAACTGCATTTTCAATTAAGAGGCTCACCATACCATGGAGACCTCAGATTTTGCCTATGGACTGAATAGTTGAAGGTATTTATCTGGACGACTTATAAAATTTTTTTATGAGCAAAAATGCCACTTTTTCACATGGAAAAGCACACTAGGGTTTATTATGAAAGGTTTAACTTCCACTTTGAGTTGATGTCAGATGATCATATGACTGAATGATAATTGTGGTTTCCACTGAATTTTGGAGGAGACTGTCTAGAGATCAGTTGTGATGAAATAATTTGAATTTCCATTTGTAAAATATAAGTGCTAAATAAAAAATTTAGGTCTGTGTTCCCTTCAAAGCATGATTGTGTGAAGAAAACCAAAAGATAAGTTAGTACAAATGAAATTGTCACCAGTTTCTTAAAATTAATAAAATTGAAATGATAAGCATATACATAATACATGAATATTTATTTAGTCAAGAATAGTTGAGCAGCATATTTCTATTAAATAACATTAAAAATTCTTTAGCTGCTAAAATGTTATGTTGAATTCACCTCTGGCCTTTGTACAGTGGTTTATGGGCTTTCCTTAGGTGATTAATGCAGCTTTAATTTATTAATTTTATGTGAAATTGTGACTAACCACCAGCAAATATATTTCATGGTTCTGGTCTCTAGGAGTCAAGGTCAAAGCTCTGTCAGGTTCTATACTTGGTGATGGTGCACCCCTACACAGTTGGCATACCTGTGCTGTGCTCTCCTGTGGTTGAAAGAGGCTAGCTTTTAGAGCCTCTGTTTTGTTTGTTTATTTAATTTTGGAAACTCCTGTGCAACCCAGCCTAGCCTAGAACTTGGGCATCTTGAATGTCTCCTAGTGATGCAATGGCAGATAGATTCCCTCCTGTTACCTGGGGCTCTTTATTAAGGACAGTAATTCCATTCATGGAGACACTGCTGTTATCAAGGTATCACTTCCCACCTCTTAATAGGGTTAGGGTTTCAGTTTAGGAATTTGAACAAACATTTACAGGACAGCAGGCAGCTAGTCATCACTGTCGAATAGGAAGACATTGAAAAGACAAGAAAATGCAGTGGTGCATTTGGATGATAACGAGGTCCTTTTCTGTATGCTTGAATTACCAGCAACTCAACTGGATTCCTTTCCTGTGTTTCTAATTGTGTTTCAATACAAGTATCTCTTTACTGTATATAAGAATTTCAGAAATTTATTGTGATTTTTCTGAAATGTGTACTCAGTTTGAGGACAAGCAGAGAAGGCTCTCTCTACTTCCATTCCGTCTCTGGTGTTTTCTAATTGTCTTTAGGACATTTTTCTCCCTGCAAGGATGATCACTTAATAGTGATTCTGAGGTGTCTACAGCATGAAAACTGTCACTCCAAGGATATCATAGCTATTTTTGCTTTTAATTTTCAGGCTGAGCAGGACAATGGACACCCACTTCCTGCCTTTGCTAGTCTACACATTGAAATACTTGACGAAAACAATCAGAGCCCCCATTTCACAATGCCCAGCTATCAGGGGTATATCCTGGAGTCGGCCCCAGTGGGAGCAACCATTTCTGACAGCCTAAACTTGACTACTCCTCTAAGAATTGTAGCTCTGGACAGAGACATAGAAGACGTAAGTTATGTATATGTTTTTGCTGTTGGTTTGTTAATGTATGTCTTCTTATACATGTTTATAGAAAGTAGGATATGATATACCTTCACAAACTACAGAGCAGGGAAAATCAAAGCCAGTGTGGCGGATTGTAATGTTTAATTGAATTCCACATCAAAGATATTTTAAAAGTATGTTTTAAGTTAATAACTTCTTCCATGTAGGTATAAGGAAGCCAGTTGGTGCTTGGTAAATCACCAGGGCATCCTTTGTATCAGTGAAAGTGTTTGATACAGTTTATGAAAAAGGAAAATAATGCAGGACAAAGTGAACAAAAACTTATAAACTGGAGCTGAGGATGACAGGCTGGAAGGCACAAGGACCTCAGTTTTTATCCCGGCACCCACGTAAAAAATTCTGGGTCTCCACCTGGAAGGTAGAGGCAGGAGGGTCCCTGAGTAATTGAAGTTAAGACACAAGATTTCAACCTTTGCTTCTCATACACAGAAAGGTATGCAGTACAGCTGCATATGCTACACATACATACACAAATATGCACACACATGGACACACATGTACGTTCACACATAAGTAAATTAGTAAATGAGAATGAAAAATGTGTAACAATAACTAAAAATGATAAAAGCATCCCAGAATTGAACCTTGGTATTTCCTCTGGTGGGGTGGTAAGTTATTGATCAAAGTATTCACCCTAGGGTGCTACTGATGCATACACACTTCTGCAGTGGTTGGTAGGACTTCTGTTCCTCCAGGATATATGTGGCTGGCCTAGGGACTTATATTACTGAACCTGCCCTATGAGTGGAAAATGGTCCAGCCTAGGCAAATGAGAATAATTTATCCTATTGGCCAGAGTGGTTTTACATGCAAACTAAACAGGATATCCATGCCCGGCAAATCCAGAGCCCCACTAGAGACTTTTGGGTCTGTGGTGGAGCCAGGAAGCTAGACACCATTTACAATAGTGGAAATGAATGTGACACCTTTGTAGCCAAGGAGCTGATGTCACATTATCAGAAACAGCAATCTATCAGTGGAAGAGCAGGAGCACAAGAGAGGCCTGAGGAGTCCAACATCCCCAGAGCTATCTACGTTCCCAAGATTTCCCTTTCATGCTGTGAACCGCCACAGTATCTCCCATCAATATGTGTGATATGCAGTGGTGTATGTGTACACACGTGCATACACATATATGTAGACATGCATACACAAATACACACGTACATGCATACACATGCATATACAAACACCATAATACACACACAATGCACAGAGTCTCATACACACATGCATGCACACTTATACACACACTTTTTTTTCGGTCATTTGCAGCTTTTACACTCCTGACTTAGTGACTCTTTCTCCTCTGCATCACTGCTAGAATGTCCCATGGTTTTCCAATGTTCTATAGCTGTGTGTGGCCTCATATCTGTGGATATTTGAGAATATCCTTTTAGTAGTCCTTTAAATGTGACTGAACTACAATCATAAATTTTCAATTTTGTTTAATTTAATTTGGGGAAATTTCCTAATTAGCTCCAGCTGTCAACTTGACACATCCTAGATTCATTTAAGAGAGTCTCATTTGAAGGATTACCCAGGTCCAATTGGCCTGTGGTCATGTTTATGGGAAATTGTCTTGATTGTTGATTTATGTGGGAGGGCCAAGCCCACTGTTGGGAGCACTATCCCTCTTTTAAGTGGTACTAGGTGATAGAAGAAAGCTATCTGAGGGCACATCAGACATCAAGTCAGCAAATGGCATTCTTCCATGGCTCCTAACTCAGTTTCCTGCCCTGATTTCACTCAGTAATGGATTGTGACATAGAAGAGTAAGCCAAACAAACCCTGCCCACCACACCCCAGTTACTTTTGGTCATAATGTTTTATTACAGCAACAGAAAAGTAAGTGGTGTGTGTGTGTGTGTGTGTGTGTATGTGTGTGTGTGTGTGTGTGTGTGTGTCTGTGTCTGTCTGTGTCTGTGGCATGGGGTCATATTTTTGAGACCGTTTCATGTATTCCAGACTGACATAGAACTCAGTATGTAGCCAAAGCTGACCTTGAATACCTGATCAGCCACTTTTACCTCCCAAGCTATGGGATTGTACCACCATGCCTAGCTAAAGATTTTGCTTAATTTTAATTAGCAAATACAAATAATCACATTTGGCTAATTAGACAACACAGCACTGTAATGTCCCTGAAAATATCATTGCAAAGAACTTCATCACTGCAGGTATAACATATTTTCAGATGTGTTCATGTATGTGTGTGTGTGTGTGTGTGCACATGTGTGCAACCCTCAGCAGAGACTGACAACACACTTGGCCCTCCATGTCTCTCTGCTCAGGTTCTGCTTTATT